GAAAGAAAGAAAGAAAGAAAGAAAGAAAGAAAGAAAGAAAGAAAGAACCCTACATACTATGTAGCCCTTAACAAAGAGTAATTGGAAAGAAAGAATGGGTCATAGTACCTCAGCCATTTGAGCAGTAACTCCCGTATTTTCCAACCCTTTGTTCTATTATGTCTTGGATGTGAAAGTGTCATGGTTTATTATAGTAATTATACACTTGCTTTTGTTCTTTTCCCCAGATGCACTTACTCTGGCCTGTCCCTGAGGTTAGCTTTTGGTGAAGTTATTTTTCTGCCTTTATGTGATCCAGAAATGGGAATTTGCTTTTGAGTTCTCCCACTTAACCTATGGCTACTGCAGTTGTGATAATATGTCATTAAGATAGAGCTAAGTCATTTTTTATAATAATGGTGACCAGAAGATTAATGACATTACTGACAACTAGCTTATCCAAATTGAGTTCAACTAGCAACAATGAATGAATGTTTGTTTCTATTGACATAATACATCTTGGAGACTATCACCCTAGCTCCATTTCATTCTTTTATCTATTAAATTAATATTTATTGAGTATTTACTACTTTCCAGATCCCATTAGGTAAGATTCCATTGTGTTCATTGAAGATATAACAAGGGAAAACAAACAAAATAGTACTGATTAAACAAAATAATACTTAAAATATAAAGTAGTGAATTTGTTATTAACAAAAATATAAGCATATTTAATGCTAATGTGTAAGAAATAATAAACTCTATTGATTGTGGAGTCTTCCAAAAAGGAGTGAGAGAAGAGATAATATTTCTGTGGGTTTTGAAGGGTTAGAAAGACATGACACTCTTTCTAAAGTTGCCATTTGCAATGACATGGATGGAACTGGAGGGTATTATGCTGAGTGAAATAAGTCAATCAGAGAAAGACATGTATCATATGACCTCACTGATATGAGGAATTCTTAATCTCAGGAAACAAACTGAGGGTTGCTGGAGTGGTGGGGGGTGGGAGGGATGGGGTGGCTGGGTGATAGACATTGGGGAGGGTATGTGCTATGGTGAGCGCTGTGAATTGTGCAAGACTGTTGAATCACAGGCCTGTACCTCTGAAACAAATAATACATTATATGTTAAAAAAAGAAGAAGAAGAAGAAGATAGCAGGAGGGGAAGAATGAAGGGGGGAAAATCGGAGGGGGAGACGAACCATGGGAGATGATGGACTCTGAAAAACAAACTGAGGGTTCTAGAGGGCAGGGGGGGATGGGTTAGCCTGGTGATGGGTATTAAAAAGGGTACGTTCTGCATGGAGCACTGGGTGTTATATGCAAACAATGACTCATGGAACACTACATCAAAAACTAATGATGTAATGTATGGTGATTAACATAACAATAAAAAAGGTGTAAGACTGTATAAGACCTCAGTTCTGCACAATGTGTTCAAGGAAACAGGAGTAGATAGCATTGGTGGAGTGAATGCATGTGTGGAGTCATGAGGAGAGGCACTAGGACAGAGCAAAGGTGGACTTCAAATGATCTTTAACATAACACGGGGCTTTTTTTGGGAAAAGGAGTTGTTCCAGCTTTTAAATGAGTGTCTCATTTAGGAAAACATTAGCTACAAGTAACTGAAATTGTTTTTCAAAATGGTTTAAGTAATAAGAAAAGTTTACCAGCTCATATTTACTAAAGTCCAGAAATGAGGTAGTCTGGGCTCTGCTCCTTGCATTGCTCTTGGCTTTGCTGTCTTTCACGTGATGGTTTAATTTTTAGGCCACATGCAAGGTGGATATAGCATTCCACACACGATAGGACAAAGTCCAGAGGAAGAGATGGTTGCTCCAAAAAAACTCCACAAGGACTTTACCAGAAGCACCGGTTCATATCATTCCTTGTTCCTCATTGGCTTAAATCAGATCACACGCTCCATCCTGAACCAATCACTTTCAGGGAAGATTGGGGTGGCCCTAGAACTAGCCAGAATCCATCCTGAAACCAGGAGCATGGCCACCTTACTTTATAGGATTGACTCTGTAGATAAGGAGGGGTACACAAACAAAACCCAGTTCTTTTTGGGAGAGGAGAGAGAAGCACGTTGTGAGGGCAATGAATAATCAGTACCCACATCCAGTTACATATTTTTCTTCCCGCTTAGGTATTTTTAAATGTAGATGACTGTGTTCCCCAAAACAAGAGAGCTTAGTAGACTATCTAGTTATCACATCCAGATCTAACCTCAAGATATCAAAAGGTAAAGTCCTCCTTCTCAGGTGCTATTATCTATTCATGATAGCACCATGTTTCCAGGAGTTCCCAGGTGACTTCTTTGAAAACAGTGACCAGATTGAGGAAGGAGAGAGTTAAGCATCAAGATGAGAAATAAGTCAGAAATTGAATTAATTTTATTATACTCAATTCATAAATGTTTAATTTCATCCATATTTAGGATGTTTGTTTCATCATAGCAGTTACTGCTGTTAGTTAATATCAGGATCTCAAAATTCCATTACCACTTGCATAAGTCTACAAAAGGGACTCATGAAAAGTATTTTGACATTTCCTCATCTAAAGCAGCCAGGATAGTACACTGAAAAGCAGTGATGCTTGGATTAGACTCAGTAGTTTAACCAAAGTAAGGTGCCTAGTAAGGCTGAAATGATTATACACAGAAGCGTTTAGAATGACCTCCTGCCCCAGGCAATGATTCCACTTGCCAAAAATTCCAGAGAACTAACTCTGTGTTGTCAGAGAATTCTGCCTTCCAGGGAGTCTAATTCTTAAATATTTCTTTTTAGACAAAGAACAGTAGGTTTGAAATTCCCAGTGGATAGCTTTTTCTTTAACATTGACCTGTGATCTGACATCAAATTATATGAGTTTATTTGAAGAAAAAAAGAGACCTCTTGGTTCATTTTTTACTAAAGAGGTAAGAGGGAAAATAGAAGAAAATAGAAGGAAAACAGGGTGAGTATTTTATGAGATAAACAATTTCATATTAATAGGATTTTTATTTAACTATACTTTTCTAGGTAATAGAATATAGACTCTAGCCAGATAACAGCCGGGATTGACTTTGAAGGACTGTGAAGTCCAGGTCTAGAATCCTTAACAAGATGATTGGTGGGAGAAGACAGATCTGCAGGTTGGTTGGCAACAAGAAGTTTGGCAGCTCCTAGAAGCCAAGTAGGTTAGGTGGCAGAATCTGGATCCATAGCCCAGGAAAGGGAAGCCACAGATTCCATTACCCAGGGGTCTGAAGCCAAGTGATCCACAGCCCAGGCAGTAACTTCTGCTGGATCCACAGCCTAGAGACCCAGGGTAAATTGACCGGCAAGGATCACAGACCATGGAGGTCTTCTGGTGGTAAAAGGAAGTCTGGCAAGGGCTGGACACCACATGGGATGTCTGGCAGCTGGTGGGCTCACAGCAGGTCTCCTGACAGCCACTGGAGAGGGAGGAGCCCAGTTGGCAGGTGCTGGGAGAACAGAGGTCAGTGTGGTAGACCAGGTTGCTGGGGCAGGAACAGCCACAGGAGGAGCTTGGGGAGCACAGGTATGTCCCAAAGGAGCAGGAGGAGGAGTTTCCAGAGCAGCAGCTGTAGGACATGTTGGCAGGAGATGTGAGTTCAGCTGAGTGACAGTGAGGAGATGTTCTGATATCCCCTCTTTCTCCCAGGCATGTTTATATATATACCCTAACTGCACTAGATGTGATTCAGACCCTCCCCATTCTTTTACATGTCTTGTCATGAAAACAACCAATTCACCTAGGCCAAAATTATAATTGAACTCATTCATGTGTTCTTAACTGCTGTTTAATTATTCGGGTTTATGGAAGGCACTCCTCTTCTTACCTTTTCTCTTTTTTTTCTGGAAGTAAGGTGTGGTTTGCCTTCAAAAGACATTTGTCATGACACACATAGTACCCTCCCTTCTTCACAAGCTTGACTATGGGGATTTTTGAGCATGAACGTCTAAATTGTTACCAGCAATGTACTCCTAACAGTCATCAGCACCTCCCTCCCAAATATTTGTATATGTTTTATTGAGCATTTACCATGAGTGCAACATTGAAAATTGTGGCATCATTTAATCCTTGCAACAACCTTATGAGATAGGTATTATCACTAATGTAGTCACCCATGTGTGCCTGTCCTAAAAACCAGCAGGAACCACATAGCTATGCCAACTCAAGAAGCTTGTCTTTTCCACTCCCAGAATCACATGAACAATGAATGCCCAGGTGGAAAAATAACATTTCAATGTGATAACATTTGCATTTTATCTGAGGTGCCTACTTATGAAGTCCTACCTCTTTTATGAAATTCCCAAATGCAACCACTGAAGGAACAACTTCTTAATTCTTTTAGTTAATATTTTTTTTAGTATGCAAAGTTACCATTAAGATGGTTGTTTCAAACTACCTTCTATTTGTCCTTTCATTTAGCTTGTCATCAATAAGCAACTCATGTTTTATCGAGTATGGAGTTATTGGATTCTTTTTCCAGGTGAGGCAGAGAATTCTTTGGCAAACACTTAGACTATCACTGAGAATAATTGTTAAGAACTGATACACCTTTTGACTGAGTTGACTACCAATGAAATACATTTGCAAAAACTTGAATTTTAATAGTGTGCTAACCTTTGCCAACTCAGTTGGGAGTGAGAAATGAGACACCTCAGAGAGTGATTCATTTCACTCCCCGCTGAGCTTCTCTTTTGCTCATCGTTCTAGAAAGACAAGCATAAAACTTACCTTCATACTAAGTAGTTAAAATCATCCTTATCACTATAAAAAAATCAATGGTATAAAGAAAAGTCCTGGAATTAGAGATGTCTTTTTTTTTCACTTATTATAATACCCAATTTCTGCCTTAAAGCATCTTTTAGAAATTGGAAACAAAAAGCTATTTATGTAACTTGATCTTTCCTATTTGTTTCCCAGGTGATTGTTTTTTCTAATCTCCTATAGTATTTGCTTATCTAGCACCAGTGGAAGAGTCTGCCCATTGTTTTGCTTATGAATTTTTACCAAATGTTTTGCTCACTTCTCCAAGTCCTTTTCATCTCTTAAAGCCCAAATCCCAAATCAAATTCCCCATCTGACAGATGTTCATCTCAGCTAAGCTTTGACTCTTCTGAGATAAGAATCTTAGTATGTTATATGCTATCTATTTGGTACACACACACACACACACACACACACACACACACACACACAGTCACATATAGAGAAGGGATTGCAAGGGATGTCTTTTGATATGGCTCATGCAGAATGAGTAAGACTTCAGTCTTTTTTTTAAGATTGTATTTATTTATTTGAGAGAGAGAGAGACAGAGAGAAAAAAAGAGCAAGTATGGGGAGGGGCAGAGGGAGAAGGAGAAAAAGACTCCCTGCCCATTTGGGAGTCCTACTTGGGGCTCGATCCCAAGACCTCAGTCAAAGGCAGATGCTTAATGGGCTGAGCCACCAAGGCACCCCAACTTCAGCCTTTTGAATTTGCAGAAGAGTCACATGTGGGGGTCAGCAACAGGGCTTAGTCATCTTTAACCCAGCGACTGGCACATGGTGGGTACTCCAAATTATTTATGAACTGAAAGAATATATCAAATCATTAACTTTCTATCTTTATAGTGAACTAATTGTTTTTTTTAAATTTATCTTTAAGAAAAATGCTAAGTGAAAATAAGTATCTCTTTCATAATTCCATATAATTCTCAAGTTCAGCATATCAACTTCAGTGCCTGAAATGACCCTAAGATATCTGTCCCCTACCCCCACTCCACACAAAGCTGGCTTTGGGGCCTTGACCAGTTACTATTTCTTTCTCTTTCAAACAGTTTCATTCTCATTCATTCTAATAGTTCTGTTTTCTCAGCCTGGTGACACGGTCAACTTTCTTCAATCCAAAAATGTCAAATAGTGTCATTTCCTTTGTGATGATAGGGTTCTTCTAATTTTTAAAGATGGAATTCTCTAAGTTTGTCAACTATCTCACTTCTTATTCACTTTTCTATAACAATATTGTCTCTATCTGGTTTAACATTCTTCTGAAACTTCACTGCCATGCTCAGCAGTGGCTCTATGCTGCTAAATGCCATGGACATTTTTAGAATGATCCGATGTGAACGTTTAGTCACATTCAACACAAGTGACTGTGCCCTTGATCTTGAGACATGTTCATCTATGTTGTTCCATGACACCCACTCCTTATTTTCCACTTAATTCTCTGTACCCTTGGTTGGGTACTTGTACATAATGTTTCTTCAGGTTTGGTGCTCATGTCTCGACATATTCTCTCTATAGGGGAGGCACCTCCCCTTCATGGCTTAAAATACAATCCATATTGTGCCATTCAAATGTTTTTTTCCATACACACCTCTTTTTTTTAATTTTTATTTATTTATTTGACAGAGAGACACAGCGAGAGAGAGTGTTATATAAAAAATAAAAATATTTTTTATTTATTTATTTGACAGAGAGAGACACACAGGCAGGGGTAGTGGGAGAGGGAGAAGCAGGCTTCCCGCCGAGCAGAGAGCCCAACGAGGGGCTCGATCCCAGGACCCTGGGATCATGACCTGAGCTGAAGGCAGATGCTTAATGAGTGAGCCACCCGGGCACCCCATCTTTTTTTTAGACCCAGATATCCAATTACTTACTAGACATTTCAGTTTGAAGGTTTCATAAGGGTGTCCAACTTTTATGTGTATGAAATTGAACTTTTGCTCTTCCCTAGGAAGAATAAAATATCTCTTTTCTTATAAGAGTAAGCAGCATTTCCACCCACTTAGTTGGAATCCTCCTAATATATGAAATCCATCCCAAACGTGGCCCATTCTGTCTTCCAAATTCTCCATAAATCTGTCTAGTCTTCTTACTGCCTACCTTCTAGTCTAGGGTTTCTCAACTGCATCACCACTGACATTTTGGAATGCATAATTCTTAGTTGTAGGGACTGTCCTATGCATTGTAAGGTATTTGGTGGTACTCTTGGCCCACTAGATGCCAGTAGCACACCTCTTCCCCAACCCCCCACCGACACACACACACACACACACACACACACACACACACACACACACACACCACGACAATTAACTATGTCTCCAAAAGTTGCATGGGAGTGAAAGCAGTTTCTGGGAAAAAACACCTGCTCTAGTTCAAGGTGTTTCCTTTCTTGGCAGGCTGTGGAAGAGTGCCAACATGGTCTGTCTCATTTTCAGAAATTGTCCCCTCCATTCTTTTCTCCCTACCCCCTGCCTGATAAATGTTAAAATGAAGGGGTGCGTGGGTGGCTCAGTCAGTTAAACATCTGACTCTTGGTTTTGGCTCAGGTCATGATCTCAGGGTCCTGGAATCGAACCCTGCATCGGGTCAGTGCTCAGTGTGGAGTCTGCTTCCCTCTCCCTTTGCTCCTCCCCCCAATCTCTCTCTCTCGCTCTCATAAATAAATAAAATCCTTAAAAGAAAATCTTAAAATGGAAAGCAATGACATCACTCTCCTGATGAAACTTTCTCTAGTACATGTGTGATAAGATACAAATCCTAGACATGATTTGCAAGGCTGCATGGTTGTGGCCCTGGCCATGTCTCTAACTTCATTTGCACCCTGGGCCCTTTCCCTGTTTCATAATTAAACTCTTTCTAGCTTTCCCCTACCACAAGGACATGTTATTTCCTGTGCCCTACATGTTCTTCCTTCATCTGGATAATTAAGATAATTAAGCCCTTCCTCACTTTATAACCACCATATCCCAGGATAAATTAGGCTTCCATGTTATGATATCTATCATCCTTGTACTTAATTCCATCATCTTTATACTATATTTATTTTTTAAACTGTCCCGTTGACTAGGGCAGTGCTACTGAAAATGATTAGTCCATGGAGATCATTACTATCTACCATGAGATAGTGTATACCAACAGGTAAATCAATGCATCTCTTCCTTCATTAAGAACAATAAGAAGTCTTGCGTGATTAAAAACGTCAGCTTAACTAAATCATAGGTTTAGTAACACCGTTGATTTACCCTGGTCTATGACTCACTCTGAATAGCACGTCTCTGACTGTAATCTCGGGGAGGGGGGGAAGGGCAGAAATTACTCTTGTTCAACCCTGAATCCTCAGCTCAAGAACAAAGTTGTATAGTCGTTGTTCAATAAATACTTCCTTAATGGATAAATTAGGAAATCAATGGTTTTATCACTACCTAAATATCTCCTATCTTATTTTGTCTTTAGACTTCCAAACTTTTCCTTGCTTCACCTTGGGTATTTCACAAAAACAGCAAACTCAGCAGAAGCTTGACTGTCTTCATAAACAGTCTCCTGGCCCAGACCTGCTTCTACTCCTCTGCACCCACCTTAGTTATAGTAAACCATCTAGGCAACCCTGAAAATGGGATGCCCGGGAGATATCTATGATGTGCCTCTTCCTCACATCCCCTGCCCGATCTCAGATCAGCATGTCTTCCTATTTTTTTTTTTTAATCTCCAAAAAATATTAGAACACTTTCCTTTCTTGCTGTATCTCAGCTATTCTGCCTTTGCTCTTGCATGTTGTCCCCAGTATGGGCCAAGCCTCTCTCAACCCAGTGTCCTATGCATTTCTCTGACTGCTCTTTCTAAAA